GTTCAGGGGTTTAGGGTTTTAGGGTGCTCTGCTTCCTCTGTTTACAATAGAAGGGGCTTTCCTAATTACTTATACCATGTTGGGAGGCTCCTTGTTATACATATGGTATAGTATAATATACATTTACATGTCTTTCCTTTGTTCAAAGATGTTGTGTGGCGGAGTGGGTTTTACGAGGGATTGACATATAGTAGGTTGTTAGGTTTTGTGTGCTGTAGTCCGCAAGCTACGCATTTTCATAATTTGTCAGGCTTCTCTTGACATAGCACCGATTTCGATCTCTGGCCCATGCTGTAGGAGTTGGCTCTGAGGTCATTGTACTGACGGGCCCTGATTGGGTTCGCACAGGGAGTCTCGTAAAACTTCTGCCGAAGGTGCAGAGTCTGAGTTTAAATCAGGAGTTTGCAGGGTTTAGGGTTTAGGGTTCAAAGGAGTTTGGAGTTTAGGTTCGATTCTCTGTGTGCACGGAGCTGTTTGACTTGCAGCAAGAGGAGGCATAGGCCCGTGTAAACTGCTAATTTATTGTGTCGCGTCTAGGATTTCGGGTTTGGAGTTTACGGCTGGTGCAACACTCAAAAAGCAACTTGTTTGACGACTAAACCCTAAGCCCAAAACCCGAAACCGAGTGTTGAGCACATGATGATTCCAGGACAAGGCCGCCCGTATGAAGCACGGAAGCAGAAGTTACAACTCCTGATTCCGGGTATTGGCTATCGGTCCTCCGGTCTCCCTTACAAGTTCGCACCGGCACAGTCATGTGCATTGCCTCATCCCCTAAACCCTAAAATTCCTAAACCCTGATTCCCTAAACCCCTAGTTCCCCCTAACACCCTACACCCCTCACACCCTAATTCCCTAAACCCCAAACCCTAACCCCCTAAACCCCCGAACCCACGTCCGACTTCCAAGGTAAGTTTGGTGACCTTCAGGCACGGGGGTCCTAAACCCTAAACCCTAATCCTAAACCCTAAACCCTAAACCCTAAACCCTAAAGGTTTTTGGGGACGGAGGGCCGAAGCTACAGAAAGCTTCCAGGTCCCTAAGGTTGGGGGTTTAGGGTTTAGGGTTTAGGGTTTAGGGTTTAGGGATCAGGGTTTAGGGTTTAGGGTTTAGGGTTTAGGGTTTAGGGTTTAGGTGAAGGGTTTAGGGTGAAGGGTTTTAGGGTTTAGGGTGTATAGGGGTTAGGCTTAGGATTTAGGGTTTAGGGTTAATATAGGGGCCCAAATGATTTACCAATACTGTTTTGGTGGGTTCCTTATTATATGTATATTATACGGGACCCCAAACACTATTCTAAGTACTAAGGCCCCTAGAGTACGCATTTAGCGAGTTGAGTTTACTGTTGCCGCGTCTTGGGTCTCGGGCTAGAACATGCGCATGCGCGGAGGCTGTCAAGATTTTAAGGTTGAGTGGAAGCTCCGCTACTTTGAGATGTCGGCAAGATTTCAGTTTTAAACTCAAGGACTCAAAGACCGTTTTACGAGCTTCTGACGCGGCGGTGTGAACTGCTTCTTGGAGGACTTTCCTGTCGGGTTTTGACACCTACAAGTCAACAGAACAGTCCTCGTAAAATGGAAAGCCTATATCTAAGACCCTCAGACCAATACTTCGCTACACCTTAAGGAGCAAAACCATAGAAGCCACGACGAGCGCTCGCGTTGCAACGATCTAGGGTTTAAGGAGGTGTCAGGTCGGTTCAAGGCTGCAGGGATTCTCGGCCAGGGGCGTGGTTCAGTCAACCCGGCATCTTGTCTAATACAGGGGCCTCAATAGTTAGAATAGGGTCTTGGGGGCTCCATATCTTAATTATAGTATACTTCTAATTATTATGGCCCCGATTTTATGCTGCTGCCGCCGAAGTAGTGTCTCTACATCCTGTACCCTAAACCCTAAACTCTAAAGCCCCACAATCCGAAACGCTGAAAACAATGGTGCTCCAAACCCTAACCCAAAGGTTGCCATGTACTTATATAATATACATCTCTATCTGTCTATCTATCTATTCATCTATACGACCAGACAGGGCCTACAAAAGAACCCCTTCAAGGCCAAAGTAAACCGTCTAAAGGTGCCTGGGCCCTTACGCTAAGCCATCACGTCCACCTGGCGCCAAGCCTCGTGCCGTTTCTTCCAGGTGTGCTACCATCCTGACGATCTGCCCCAAGACCCTCCAGGGAACCTTGGATGAGGGGCATTTCCCGATTGCAAGGGGTTCTGTAGGATTTCTTACAAGGGTGTTAGAATATATCATAAGGGTCCAAAAGGGTTTATTGTAATTGGTTTTTTATGAGGGTTCAGGACCGGTTCCCCACGGGGTTGATAAGCTCTTGTGTTTTTAACATTCTAACCCTAAACCCTAAACCCTAAACCCTAAACCCTAAAAACGAGTCATGCCGTCACCTTGGGCGCACCGCGCCACTGCGGGTCGCAGCACTCTGGGGGGGGCTTACCTTTGTTTCTGAAGCCCTATACCCCAGGGCTCCAAGTATACAAGTAGTACCTATTTTGGGTCTAAAGTCTGCACATAGTACCTACTTTGGGCTATTTGGAGGTTCAGGGATATTCTGAATAAATCTGAGGACGAAGAACAGAAGTGCAGTCGACACATGCGTCCAAGGAAAGCGAGCAACTGTGCCTTCGCGTTCCATTGGCTGCTGCTGTACTTGGAGCTGGATCTCAAAGACGGGAGGTCCGATGTTCTGAAGTAGAGCTTGGGTGACAAGGACGTCTAAGCCCTGAACCCTAAACCCTAAACCCATGATTCCTCGTCGTGCTTTAGGATCTCGTCGCACTGCGTTTCTGCTGGTGACGCCGACAATGCCGGTGAGGAAGCAGCATTAGCATCTTCCCAGTGCCCAGGTCAAGTGGGGGCGACGATGGCACAGAGCATCGGAGGACACATCCGCCAGGGCGAAATGGGCTTTGGGCTTTCGGAACCCCTTTGAGCTGCAGGGTTTTGGAAGTAAACAGACACAAACTCTTGCACAGACAGAGAGAGAGAGAGAGAGAGAGAGAGAGCGAGAGAGAGAGAGAGAGAGGGTTTCAAGCCGTGGAAGCAGCAGCAATAAGCACCTGTGTATCCATAGCACCTCCTTTGTAGTTCCTGCCTGCAGGCAGGGGCTCGTGTGTATATGTGTGCGGGTGTATATTCTGTATAACCTGTTATATATATATATATTGCATATCAATTGTTTTTTGTTTAGTTAGATGTTGTTATGCATTCGCCAGCATGGATTTGTACGAGGTTCAGGGCTTCGTGTCGAACGCCGAAGGCACAAGTTTTGAAACACAACAGTCAGAGTTTCAAGAACCTTTCATGCCTCATAACCGTTAACCCAACACTAGAAACCCATGATCCTAGACGCTCATGCACCTAACACAACCTTAACTAGAAACCCGAAACCCGGCGGCGACAGGAGGCGTGCAATAGAGCAATTGGAGATGTTGTCACTGAACGCTCGCAGGCCCAGCTGTGCACCGCTTTCGGGATGTGGACGCCGTCCCCAAAGAGTCTTAGTACCTACTTTCTATTATGGGTGTTTAAAGTAGGAGTTGCTTTCGTGGTCTAGGTCTAAGTAAGTATCCCCATGGACAGCAGCAATTTTGGAGGCTTCCATACGGAGACCATACTCTTGTTCCAGACAGAAATGGTCAGGCGTACAACGGCCGAAATTGATTTCTTACAGCCGCGAAGCCTTGTTTCGAACTCCAACCCTGGGGTTCCAAATAGCCCAGAGGGGTACTATTTGCAGACTTTAGACCCCAAAGTAGGTACTATTTGTATACTTGGAGCCCTAGGGCAAGCAACTTGTGTTTTTTGAAGCCTAAACCTCAACCCTAAACCTTAGTAACCCTAGACCCTAAACCCTAAACCCTAAACCCTAAACCCTAAACCGTCTGTAAAATACAGGCTCCGAGCTCGGAGTCGCAAGCAGCACCTGCACGTCTTGAACCTGGGGTACGAGGTTTAGGGACGAATGCAGCAACCTAAGCCCAAAACGTAAAACCCCAAATCCTACACCCTAAACCCTAAACTTAAAACCCCAAATCCTACACCCTAAACCCTAAACCCCAAACTTAAAACCCCAAATCCTACACCCTAAACCCTAAACCCTAAACTTAAAACCCCAAATCCTACACCCTAAACCCTAAACCCCAAACTTAAAAACCAAAATCCTACACCCTAAACCCAAATCCCAAACCTTAAACCCTAAACACTAAACCTAAACCAGAAGCTTTCTGGCAGAAACCTCGCAGGCTCGGCGCAGAGGCTCCGGCGAGCGTGATGCTGACAGTGGGAGATGCAGATTCAGTCTTTCATCACTTCTACTTCGAGGAGAGCTGCGGCATGAACATAGGGTTTAGGGTTTAGGGTTTGGGGTTTAGGGGTTTAGCGTTTAGGGGTTTAGGGTTTAGGGTACTTACCTACATTATTCTTTAGGGTTCCTAATAAATATTAAACTGTACAGGTGCCCCAAACTGTCTTCCAACTATGATAAGGCCCCTACATTAGGAGTCGTGCCTGCAGAGATTGATGGAGCTTCTCCCCTAAACCCTACACCCTAAACCCTAAACCCTAAACCTTAAACCCTATACCCTAAACCCTAAACCCTTAACCCTTAACCCTAATCCCCAAGTGAGTTTCTCCAAACCCCCAAAGAACCCAAGGCCTTAGAACCCGAAAGTCCCACCAAGAAGAGCCTGGAGCTTCATCGTGCTCACTGTTAAACTACTGCTCTACTTGGAGGATCATGGGACTTAGTAAGTAAGGTTATAAGTCCCCTAATTGGGGTTATAAGTATAGTTACCCTAGTTATGACCCTACTTACTGAGTCCCTAAACCCTAAACCCTAAACCCTAAACCGTATGACCCTA